TATATTTTCGTTTAATGTAATAAAAATTTTAAAATCTACGTGTACGTAGTACGAAGAAAAATTCTAACTCTATATCTATTCAAACGGAAATAAAAGATTAGACGTATTACATGTCTCTCTCTCTCTTTCTCTCTCTCTCTCTCTTTCTCTCTCTCCCTCTCTCTTTTTCTTTCTATCTCTATCTCTATCTTACTTTCTGTGTATGTCGATGATTAATACAGATATAATGATTAAGTACGAGTCGGTAATATTCCGATAAACGACGGGAAGTGTCTACTGTGGCTTTAAAAAATTTTCTTTCGCAAACCGACTCGTTATTATTATTATTATTATTATTATTATTATTATTATTATTATTATTATTATTATTATTATAATTATTATTATTATTATTATTATTATTATTATTATTATTATTATTATTTTTCCTCTTTTCCTCTCCATTAAATCTGATCGAATAAAGATAAAATCGAATGAAATAAGAAAAAGAGAGAGAGGGAGAGAGAGAGAGGGAGAGAGAGAGAGAGAGAGAGAGAGAGAGAGATGGAAAGAAGCAGCGAAGCAGAGAGAAAGTCGACTGGTAGAAATAGGAGGGGGTGAGAGGGGTGGAGGAGAGAAGACGTTCGAGAACGGAGAATGGCTATCGAAAACCGACCTTCACCGCGAAATCGGTATACTTATTTATCTTCGTGAACGAACATGCTAACGAACGACATACACGAAACTCGTTTTATTTTATTTTATTATATTTTATTTTATTATATTTTATTTTATTTTATTTCATTTTATTTTATTTTATTTTACTTTATTTTATTATATTTTATTTTATTTTATTTTATTATATTTTATTTTATTTTATTTTATTTTATTTTATTTTATTTTATTTTATTTTATTTTATTTTATTTTATTTTATTTTATTTTATTTTATTTTATTTGGAGAAAAAAGACGACCAATCGAAAAATTTATTGACGGAAAAAGAAGAAACAAAATCATACTTTATAATGGACAATATGAATGTTCTTTTCTGCTGGTCTTTTTTTTTTTTTTTTGTTTGTTTGTTTGTTTACTTTGTTTATTTTGTTTCGTTGCGTTTGTTTGCTCTTTGTTGTCCATTTTTTTATTTGTAATTTTTTATTCTTTCTTTATTTTTTTTTTTCTGTTTCTTTTTTTTTTTTTTTTTTTTCTTTCTTTTTTTTTTCTTGTATAATAATTTTTGATATAATCATTAGCGTTATAAAAGGTTATTAGGCGATCATCACAGAAATCATATTACTTTCATTTTTCGAGGTATCCTTTTTTTACTTGTAATTTTTCATTCTCTTTTATTTTCGTAAAATTACAAGATTGACTTTGAATGTCTCGAAATAGTGTGATCGATGTTTAAAAAAAAGTCGGATGATAAGAATTCCTCTCTCTTTCCCTCTCTCTTTCTCTCTCTCTCTCTCTCTCTCTCTCTCTCTCTCTCTCTCTCTCTCTCTCTCTCTCTCTTCTCCACCCTCTCGTTCAAAATGGAATTTTTAAATAGCCGATTCTAATTAATTTATAAAATTTTCAATGAAAGTTACTTATTTCTTTTTTTTCTTTTTCTTTTTTTCCTTTTTCATTATCATTTTTTTCTTCATTTATTTATTTATTTATTTATTTATTTATTTTTTTTTTTTTTTTTTCTTTCTTTCTCCTACATATATCCAGAACGAAAGCATATTAAATAGAGAAAGAGAATGTTCGTCATGTGTGGTCATTTAAAAAATATAGAAAGAATATAAATTATGAAATCTTTTTTCCTTACGAAATTTTAAGCTACTCGATTCGAATGCTTTAGATTTCAAAGTTAAGATACAAGAAAAGAATTTGATTGAATTGATTGAATTATATATGATTGATAAAGATTACATTCTATCTTTCTTTCTTACTTTCTTCTTCTTTTTTCTTTTTTTTTTCTTTTTTTCCTTTTTCCTTTTTCTTCCCTCCCCCCGTAAAAAAATTCAATAGAAATGATAGAAGAAAAGAAACGTTGAATGAATTTTTCATATTATTTTTTTTCTCTATTTTTTTTTTCTTTCTTTCTTTCTTTCTTTCTTTCTTTCTTTCTTTCTTCATTTATTTATTTTCTTTTTTTCTTAATTAAAATGATCGATATATATTATCAAATATACGTAATTTCCTATATTCGCAATTATTATTATATATATATATATTAATATGATAGATATTATATAATATCTTTATTAATTTTATTAATTAATATACATACATACATACATATATATATATATATTATTATTTTTATTTATTATTATTATTATACTATTTATATAAACGATAAAAAAAAAAAAATATATATATATATACATAAGCGTATATAAGCTTATTGAAATAACATAAAAGAGAAAGAGTATGATTTTTCATTGGGCTTATCCCCTTAAGATTATGCGATCAAATTCGCTAGCTAGCAACCTTATCCGAAGGTTATATACTCGTGAACTGGCTTACATGCGATAAGATCACGATTATACAGCTCACGTCGCTTCGTATCGACGAAATTCTCATTCGAGAGTTGCTTAAATATCCAATAGAATTGGAATTTTCCTTTTTCTTTTCTTTTTTTTTTTTTCTTTTCTTCCTTTTTCTTCTTCTTCGTCTTCTTACTTTTCTTTTTTCCTTTTGTAAAATAACACGATTGATAGACCGACAAAATATATTTGCTTACCTATATTCATCAAGTATTATATCAATATTAATAAAAAAAAAAATGTTTTGTTATACTGAATCGCGTTCAAAGAATTCTCAAAGTCTCGGTCAGATAATTTTTTTTACAAAACAATTTGATTACTCTCTTCCCTACGTGAAGTATTTTTTTTTTTTTAGGTTTAGATCTTTTTTCTTCTTCTTTTTTTTCTTTTTTTTTTTCAACAAATAAAATCGCATGTTTAGAAAATTACGACAAAGGATTTATCAATATTTAAGATCATCTGGGGACGTTCGATCTCCTCCTGTATAGTATGAAAAAGAAAAAAAATAACATTGATAACACGCATACATACACAACATATATATATATATATATATATATATATATATCTATGATGTTAGTATGAAATAAGGATGAACGTATTTAATTCCTTTTTGTCGGATCCTCGTAAGAAACATAAAGATTTCTCTCGGAGATCTTATTTACATTATATATATATTACATATATAGGAGGGAGAAAGGGGAAAGGAAAGAGGAGGGGGAAAGAAAGAGAGAGAGAGAGAGATTCAAAGATAAAGTTCATTAGTTTAGTGTCGTCGATTTAATCGTGTAAGTTAGGTACGCGTGTCCGATGATCTTATTAATCGCAAAATACATATATATATATATATATATATATATATACATATATAAAAGATATCGTTAGAATTTTATAAAAAATATTAAAAAGGATCAACATCGACAAGAAGAAGAAGAAGAAAAAAAGGAGTAAAAAAAGAAAAGGGTATCATATATCGGTTTATTACATTTCGATCAATTAATGATTTCCTACGATTAAACGATAATTTAATGATCAAAAATTGTTAATTTAATATAAAGCGTTACAATTTATTAATAAACTTGGATAAACTTTCCCTCGTGAATCGATATAATTTGAGAAAATGATAATAGATATTTTAAGACAGGCAATTCTTCAAGAAATTATATATACATACATACATACATATATATATATATATATATATATATATATAAAAAATTAAAATTTTATTAATAATATATTGAATACGCCAGATTTAATTTGAAACGTTATAATAACGTGCACATATTATTTTTTTCTATTTAATCAGAACGTCGTGATATGTACAATCTAAGGAAAAAAAAAAGAAAGAAAGAAAAAAAAAGGAAAAAAAAAAAGAAGAAAAAAAGAAAAAGAGGAAAAAAATACATTACGAGTAAGTAACTAAATATATACGAGAGTTCACGCGCGATAGCGTCAAGAGATAAAAGTCAATTGCACCGCCGATGTATGTTCGTAATCGGGACTTAAAGAAAATCCATATAATACTATATGTATGTATCTATAATTAACATATATCATTATTCTTAAGACAAAGTTTATATAATACGGCTGACAGACATTTTTTTTTTTCCTTCTTTTTTCTGTCTCTACTTTTTTCTTTTTTCTTTTTTTTTCTCTTTTTTTTTTTTTTTTTTTTTTTTTTTGTCTTCCTTCCTTTTTTTATCTGCAATTTATATTCGATAACATTATTAAATATAGATCCGTGGGAATACATTAATCTTGAAATTGGTGATTAGATGAATTAACTAGGATTGTTAAGTTATTCATGATCTCTCGTAGATTCGTCGTAGTGCATAACACGGACCATTGAATTCGCAACGTTGAAACCGGATATATATTAGTTCATGCGTGACCAAGAACGTGGCCAATTCGTTCCTGAAACGAAGAATATTGTCGTTAAATTTTATTGTTTTTACATTATTTTCAATGTTTGCGTTTGTAGTTAAAAAAGCTTAACGTCGTCTCTCTTCTGCGCGTACGACGATATCAAATAAATGATATTGGTCGAATATTTATCAAAGGCAATATTGCGATATAGAATCGTATTTATGTATAAAAATTAAATAGTTATTAGGCATATATATATATATATATATATATTCCTTTCACAATAAGAAAGTACTAGAGGAAACGATTGTGTTAGCAAAAGTAACGTGCAAGCGTTCGTACGGCGGTCAAATCGAAAGTGGAGCATGCCTTTGACGAAAACTTTTGTCTCCCTATCGCGTTAATAAATTAGGCACGACGTTATTATCGCGTTATTTGTAAAGAGAAAAAGAAATCTCGCTTTTATACGGATTTATCGGTAACGTTTAACGCGTATCCAATCAAATACGTTGAACAATTACGAGGAATATTTCGTTCGATTTCGTAATGTGACTGTATTTTTTACGCGTACACGTGTACGTAAGCATGAACGATCGTTCGCATTGCCTGATTCCAGATACTGGCGCGCCCTACGTATTGTACAAGGACAACATGGAGAGACCCCAAGGGCAATGGGGCCCGGGGCCGGGATCTCTCCAGGACGGGGGACTGTATCCTCAACAGCAACAACAACAGCAACAGCAGCAACAACAACAGCAGCAACAGCAGCAACAACAACAGCAGCAGCAACAGCAACAGCAACAGCAGCAAGGTTCCTCCTCGTCCGGTAGTCCACAGCAGGCCTGTGGTCCTCCCGTCGAAGGAGAAAACGGTCCTCCGCCCTCGTTGGCCTCCCCCGTGCCCTCCCCTTATCCCTCGGCACCTCCCGAGCCTCAAGCCTTAACCCCGGCCGAGGACGATATACAATCTAATCAGACCACCTCTCAGCAACAACAACAACAACAGCAACAACAGCAGCAGCAGCAACAACAGACTCAACAACAGCAACAACAGGTTCAGCAACAGCAAGTACAACAGCAACAACAGCAGCAGCAACAACAACAGCAGCAGCAACAATCGCAGCAGGACCATTCGCCGCAGCAGCAATTGACGCCACATGAGGTGGATCGAAGCGATTGCTTTCCAGGTGCCGGGGAACTCCAACAATATCCACAGCATTATTTCAAAGAGGCAAGGCCTCATCCGTCACCGTCCGTACCGCCGCACATGCTGACGCCAGGCGGTTTCTCGGCGTTACATTATTTGAAGCAACCCGGGGTGATGCTGACATCCCTCGGCCAAGGAGACGGCGGACCCGGTGGCCTCGAGGCTCACCAGTACGCGAGCCCAGGTGCGCCTAATATGGCGACCGGTCTACCCGACATCGTCCAGCAAAGTGGGAAAACGTCGAAAGGCGCTAACAGCGACCTACGCCTCTTCAAATGCCTCACCTGCGGCAAAGACTTTAAGCAAAAGTCGACTCTGCTACAGCACGAGCGGATCCATACGGACAGTCGGCCGTACGGGTGTCCAGAATGCGGGAAGCGGTTCAGGCAGCAATCGCATCTGACGCAGCACCTGCGCATACACGCGAACGAGAAGCCCTATGCTTGCGTATACTGCGAGCGTACGTTCCGACAGCGTGCCATCCTCAACCAGCATCTGCGCATCCACTCGGGTGAGAAGCCATACCAATGTCCGGAGTGCGGAAAACACTTCCGTCAGAAGGCGATCCTGAATCAGCACGTCCGCACACACCAAGGCGAGCATTTCTCTCTGCCTCCCAGACTCCCAAACGGGGGTGTCCATCCACGGTCGCAACCACCCACGGTCGCAACCCATCCACCTTTGCTATACCATCATAACGTGTATCACGATCGTTTCTAACGACGGGACGACTAACGACCCTGCATCTCTTGCTCTTTCTTTCTCTCTCTCTCTCTCTCTCTCTCTCACTCTCTCTCACTCTCTCTCTCTCTCTCTCTCTCTCTCTTTCTCTCTTTGTCTCTCTCATTTGTTCGCTCTTTTTCTCGTTTATTTCTTTCTTTCTTTCTTTCGTTCGTCGAGCGCATCCAAGAGCGAGCCGCGAAACGGAGAAGAGAAAGAAAGCTCTCTTTTTGCTAAATCCTTGCGGATTCCTTAGGCTGCTAAACTACCACTTTATACCTTACCTTACTATACCTTGTCTATCCGAACACCGAGCCAACCAGAACCGACAACCACCCGCCCACCTGCCCGCCCGCCCACCTATCTACCTATCTACCTACCTATCCGTATCCCTCTCCCGCTCTCTAACATAAGCCTCTTGTCTTCTCGTACGAACGCGAATTATTATCGGATCTCTGGTTCGACGCGTTACGCTTATGGAGAATAACGTTCCTAGGGTTCTAAGATAATGGGAGAGATGAGCGAATCCAAATGACGAAGGTAACGTTCTCGTTTCAGACGTGAGCCCGCATCTCATCTTCAAGAACGGGATGACGCCGACGCTTTGGCCGCAAGACGTACCGTTTCCACCGGAGGAAGGCAAGGAGGAGGTAGCCTCGACTTTCGGCGACACGGACACGCAGTCGGGTGCGTTTAGTCCCGCGCCAGACGCGAATTCCATCCAGTATCCGGCATACTTCAAAGACCCGAAAGGCGGTAATCACGCGGTGTTCGGTGCCGGTGGTTCGAGCAGTTTCGGCGCGCTACAATATATAAAACAGCAAGGGGGTAGCAAGAGCTGCCTACCGGACGTGATACAGCACGGTCGTTCCGCGGGAATGCCTCTTTACGTTCGTTGTCCGATCTGTCAGAAGGAGTTTAAACAAAAGTCGACTCTACTACAGCACGGTTGCATACACATCGAGTCAAGACCTTATCCCTGTCCGGAGTGTGGCAAGAGGTTCAGGCAACAGTCCCACCTCACTCAGCATTTGCGCATTCACACGAACGAAAAACCATACGGTTGCGTTTACTGCGGCCGTAATTTCCGACAGCGTACTATTCTTAATCAGCATCTGCGCATTCACACAGGCGAGAAACCGTACAAGTGTCAACAGTGCGGCAAGGACTTTCGTCAAAAGGCGATATTGGACCAGCACACGCGTACACATCAGGGCGATCGGCCGTTTTGCTGTCCAATGCCAAACTGTAGGCGACGATTCGCGACCGAGCCGGAGGTTAAGAAGCACATCGACAACCATATGAATCCGCACGCGGCAAAGGTGCGTAGGAACTCGAGCAGCGACGCGAAAGCACCCGGTACGCCTACCGGTTTAGGACCCGTGCCGGTACCGCGCGGCCTTACACCTACCGTTGTTAAGCCCGAGCTATACTTTCCTCAGTGTTACGCGCCCGCGTTCAATCATCAGCCGCCGGTATCGACTGCACAGTTCCCCGGTCAGACGAACGGGGTATCCGTGGCTGGCGAGTTCAAACCACCTAGCGGACTGCCGCCCCAGTGACTAACCGTCCATCCTGCCGCCTACTAGCAAGCAGGAATACCGCTGACGTTTCAGCGATCCTTTGCTCATCGCTTCGAGGCCGGGCCAACCGCCGCCGTTGCCGCCGTCGCCGCCGTCGTCGCCACCGCCTCCACCACCATTGCCACCACC